ATAGTCCTTAAAATCTTTTATACCACTTGGACTGTGTTTGCTTTAATGCAGTAGAAATGGAGCCGACAAGCCCATCTGACGGAAAAGAACAAAATGTGCACCCTGCCCACCCAACGCGGCAAGAGCGTATAAATCAAATGCACCTTAGTGTATTTCAAACCCAGCGATCAGCCAGGTATGTTCAGCAGCTCTGGCACCCAGACACCCTAACCCCACCCAACCTGGACAGAGCACACCAAAAGCCATCAAACAAGCGCACCCAAACATGCCAAGCAGACATCCCGCGTCTCAGGTTGAACATGTGAAAGTTCTATGTGAATATGTGTGTGTTTTCTCGTACACTAAACTAACACACCACACTCTTTATCCCAGAGACTCCTTATCCTGGTTTGCATAACGGAGAAACAGAAAACCTCTCCGCTCCGTGCTGTTCTTCTCTGACCTTTTCTGCAGTTTCTGTCTCCACAAGGTAATGTTTGCTTTCCCGTAGACTGAGCCTGGACTATCTCACGGATGACTGAGTGCTCATTTGTGTGTACGAGCTCAAACGCAAAAAGAAAAGTCTGTAGTTTCATAGATACAGACTCTAAATGTACACTTGTTGTATGTGTAGGCTGTGTATACGCATACTGTATGTGTTTATGTGTGCTTTATATATTTATGTGGTTTGAAGTTCTATTCAATGTGTGTGTAGGTGGTCCATGCACACAAGTCAGTGTTTACATTAGAGGAGCCTAATGTCTGAGTATCTGCTTTGAATAAGACAGAAGCAAAAATACTGTGTGATCCATTACTAACAGACGCACTTGAACAACTCCAATGCACTAAAAGACGTGCATATAAAATACTAATTCAAGCAGACGCAATTACTTTCACTCAAACAATTAACCACCTACAGCTAATTTTGGATGAACACATACCATACACGTAAACCCTAATGTATAAGCAAACTTTGTATTTATGTACAGTACATGTGTATGAACTTAACATTACATTTGGGGAGTTTCAAGCACATTAAAAGGTGGACTTAAGGTGTTTGCTGAAGGCCATTTTGAATTATCAATGGCCTACTACTGCCTACTTCAAAAAATGGACTTAATAGGAAACTGAGAAGTGAGGTTGCTATGGTTATCGCACAGAAAGCCGTGGAGTTTGTTGTTTTACAGTAAGCCTTGAGAGAAAAGCCCGTTTGTCTGACTCATGTGTTAGAGTAGGTCCTCCGTGGCTCAGTGGGTGGATAGTGATGCTGACATGTCTAGGGGTTAAACTTGTTCAACACGACGCTGTTAATATATTGTGCATGATGTAAGCGTGTGGGCGTTTGGGAACCCCCCTCAAGTTTTAAAGAAAGGCTTTTTCCGTGGGATTCCTAATAGCTGAAAGATACACTTCATGTTTCGCTGTTACGTGAAAAAAAAATGGATTCAAAGAAATAATGATAAAGCATTTAAAATAAATAATAATATAAATTGCACATAATTAAGAAGAGGAGATCTCCAAGGGTGTATTCACACCTCTTAATTAGGTTTAGGCTCACAAAATTAACTGTGTTCAAGAAGGAGTAAATTAACAGTTATATCATAAACAAGAAGAAGATGCCTTTTCTTGAATTCTTGATTTCTACTAACTGGTGGAGAAGGATAGGAAGAGGAAGGTGGAGGAGGAAGGCAAGAAATGGTTTAAGGAAGGTTGGTCAATAAAGAGGAAGAAATATTAAAAAGAGAGCCGGAAAAGAATAAAGGAAAGAGCAAAAGGAGATGGAGTGAAAAAGGTGAAAATAAATGATTACGGTTGAGGATATGAAAGAGGACAGTGCAGCCGGAAAGACAAAGAAGGTGAAAAGAGCAAACCACAGGGGAGCACAGCAGAGGGAATAGAGAGGGAGGCCAGGGGTGGCTGGAATCATAATCCCCTGTTGAATTTCCCGAGGAGCCGTTTCGAAAAAGATCAAAGAGCCGCGCCTCCTCCTGAGGACGGATTCTCACCTTTAACAAGCTCAGGGCAGGGCGGGTGCTTCATTTGTGAGTGTCGAGAGAAATCAGGAGCAAAGGACAACAAGGGATGGGCAAAACATTTTAATTTATAAGGAACTCTATTGCACATTTACAACATACTGCAAGAATTAGCAGCAGTGAGTTGAAACAAACGGAAAGATCCATAGCCAGATGTATTTGATGGTCAATAAAGCCAACTAAGGAACATCAGCATGAGAGCAAGGGGACCAACTGAAAAAAGGGACTTTTACAGGAAAGGAGTCGGACTCACTAATCTGATTTGTACAGAGCGACTACAGAGTATGGCTGCTCAATTAATCGTATTTTAATCGCAATTATGATTTTGGCTTGCAACGGTTATGAAAACAACATAATCGAAATAAAACGATTTTTTTTCTTTATTATTATTTATTTAAAAAAAAAAAAAAAATATGTATTGGTTTTTCAATTGAATTATACTTAAGGTTCAGGGTAGTCAACTGTTAAAAACATACTACACATTTGTTTTCCCAATAAATTGATGTTTTCAAAGTAAATGGATAATCGTTTTTAATAATCGTGATATCAATTATTGACTGAATAATCGAGCAGCCCTACTTCAGAGTAGAAGTGGAATGACAACACACCAGTTCATCAGATAATGTTACTGTGTATTTTGTGGGATGCTTTTGGGGGGGATGAGATATTAAAATAAGATAGATGTTAGGTATCATTGAGGTTATTTAGTACTGGTACATCACAGTGGGTGCGGTTAAAGGTTGAAGAAAACATGTGTCTTTATTCAGCCTTAATCTTATATTGATAGTTTTTGGTTTGACTGTATAACATAAAGCAATGTGAATCCTTCCGTATTGTTTTTTTGAAGCTTTAATTAAAGCCAAACTAAGGCAACACAAAAAAGATACTGTTACAATCATCAACTCAATTATTGGTTGATGAAAAAGTAGCCATGTGTGTAGTAATTAAAAATCGAGGAGGTGACACATTGAGATGAATTAAGAATTATTTTGTGACAGGTGAAGCTTTATCCAAATGTGAGGCCATTGATTCACACCTTTTGCAAGAATATCTAACCTTAATAACAAAATAATTAAGACTGTAGAAGGAAGGTTACATGTACATCAATGTAGTGAGTACCATAAGATAGATATTTAAGAAGACTGTTGGCTTTCTTAGCTGTGGTTAGCCCAACCAACACAATGGATATAACCCACAAATAGTTGATGTAGTCTAACTAAAGCAATAATGACTTTTTTTGTGGTTGAAGAATGAAAAAGAGTTAAGGCCTGCATTGGTTTGTAGAAGACTACATCTCAGCAATGTGGCTGGTGAGTAATATGTTGCCATTGAGGTGAAGCAAAATACATGATTTAAGCTCTAAGAGTGAAAGGTGAGTTTCAAGGAGGAAAGAAAAAGTGAATGGAAAAGCCAGCGAGAAGAAATATGACAAGGAGTTAAAGAGAGCGTCTGGGAGAGAGGGAAAAAACGGGGTCATCTTGAGGGCCAAAACAACCTGGAACCCATTACCCTGAGCGCCCAGTGGGACCCCTCCGCACCGCCACTCCCCCATTTACAGTTCTCATGATGTCATACGAGCCGACACTCTCTCCTACATAACGGCACAGAGTCCTGATCAGACTGCCGGAGATAAGCATGATGAAGGATTGAAGTCATAAAAGGTCTGGACTTAAAAACTGAACCTGGCTTTTCACGCAGACAACGGAAACTCAACAACTACTTTGAAATATTTTAGACTCCATCTTAAAAATGTGAAGGTAGCTGATGATATGATAGCTTTTTGCTTACTTGTTCTGGAGATTTACAATGCAAAACATGACACCAGTTGCTACTTCTGTCTACTACTTTGCACTGTATTAACTAGTCTTAGAGTTTACCACACACAATCGTTTAACTGACTGCTTTAAAACAGTGAGTAAAAGGCCTTTTTGCAGACATCAAGTTATTACATTGCAGATACGTTTCAAAAACTTTCTGCGTGCTGAACTTTGACACACATTCCGCTTAATGAACTTGATTCCTGTTGCTGTAACACTGATCAGACAAAACATTTATTTGCTTACAGCCACAAAACACTATGAGGGAAAATATGTTTGCTCTTTTAAAGAACGGCAAGAACTCGTAGTAAACAGATTACTTACTGTAGCACAGAAACAGGCGGATATTTTTGAAGAAAAACACCAAGCTCCAATCCCTCTTAGTCAGTGTACACTAATAAAAGTGAGAAAGGAGACTTGAGCAAAAGAGAGTAAGAGAGTGAGGGAGAGGGAGAGGGAGAGAGAGAGAGAGAGAGAGAGAGATCTACATCAGTAGAGGAAGTCAAAGAGGAGAGATAGAGAGACAGGGTTACTAAAGCTTTAGGCAA